CTTCTATTTTCTATCTACATAAATGACCTCTGCAATGTTTCGCCCTCAACCAAATGCGTACTGTTCGCAGACGACACCAACCTTCTTTTACTTCCAACAACCTACCAGATTGCTCTGAACATATCAATCTTGAACTCCAAAAATACTCTAACTGGTTATCCAATAACAAACTAATCATAAATTATTCGAAATGTGCATACATTATTTTTGGCCCAAAAATACTCACCAACCAAGCTCCTAACCTAAACCTATTAGTTAATGGTGTTCCTATAAGCCGCACCCTGTCTACCAAATTTCTTGGAATCACCATTACAGAAAATCTTTCATGGAATTCTCACCTACAAACTACCTCAGACAAAATCAACAAACTCACAGGCATCTTCTACAAAATCAAATATAAACTCTCTCTTTCTGCTCTTCGCACGCTTTATTACACATTCATCTACCCTTATCTAACCTACTGCATCACACTATGGGGAAATAGTCCAAAAAGCCACCTGAATAATCTAATACTTTCCCAAAAAAGATCAATACGTTTAATTTTTAACCTCAAACCCGATTCTCATACTAAACCCTTTTTCCTAGCAAAAAAAATTTTACCACTTAACTTCATCTGTCTTTACTACTCTGCTTTATTCGTTTTTAAATTTATCAACAATCTTCTCCCACCTCACTTTATCAACTTCTACACATTAAGTAACTCCGTTCAACCTACAACCACTAGACACACCCCTCTCTTCTATATCTACAAAACTCGCCTCAAATTAATCCAGACAAGCATAAAAATAACAGGTCCTAAAATTTGGACAGAACTTGTACCTCCCCATCTAAGAGCCATCATAAACCTACAACATTTCAAGTCAAAATTCCGTGCTTTTTTATTGACACTGGATCTTGACTCCACCACCTAATATTATATTAAGAATACGTTAGAACAAATGATGCGGATGAATAGTCTTTATGAATGGTTAAACATTTATTTTTTTATATATGTACTGAGCGAACATTTACATAGTTATATGTCTATATATGTATGACACGAACATTTACTTATTTATCTTCAATTATCTTTCTGCTTCAGTTATTTTCCTTATTTTATTCATTAACTATTCATGTATCTACCTGCGGTGGCCACCACAAGACAAACAGTCTTATTCAGTCTCCGCATATTCAACTTCATAACTTTTATTCACTTATTTGATATGTTGTTGATTATGAATAAAACTTTGAAAATGAAAATGAAATGAAAATGAAATATATATATATAGCTTGTGTATACATACTAATCGTATGTAAGAAGAAAATTGTGAAAAACATCATGATGACGACGAAGATGATAACAATGCTGATGTTGATGGTGGTGATGATGATGATGATGGTGATACATGAGTAAATGAAGCCAAAGGTTAAAACCTTTTCATTTCATTTTTACGAAAATTTTTGTCATTTCGTCATTCATTCATTCTTTATTGGCGTTTAATTTTTATCTAAGATTTATATCCTTATTTGTTTAATTTTGTATTATTCTTGTTTTCTAAAAATTAACAAAATTTTAAATACATATACACGTGTTCGTATGTGCGCGTGTGTTTGTGTGGTTTTTTGTAAGTTTTGTGAGTTCAAGAGAAAAGGGCCAGAAAAAGCAAATGCAGATTTAGCAAAAGAGTGTTTAAAAGAAGTGAGAACAAGAAGACGAGCCTAGACGTTCAGTTTCAATTAATATATCTGATAAGTATTTAGGAAATAATAAATTGAGACTTGGACATAAGCGTGCAAATTTTAAAAAATTTTAAATTTTACATATTCAAAATAAAAACGATTTTGGCTATCCATGGTTAAGATATCTTTGTTTACCTCGACTATACAATGCTAGCAAGCAGCGTATCCATCTGATGAAAGATTTCGTCATTGTCTGGTCGTGTGCGTGCGTGCGTTCGCGTGAGAATGAATGGATGGATGAATGAATGAATGGGTAAATGAATGAATAAAGGAATGGATGGATGAATGTACCGGTGATTAAACATGTTGAAAAATTAGGCGTTGGTGCATCTTAATGTAAATAATGGTAATAATAATAATAATAATAAAGATAATAATAATAATAATATCATTAGTAATAATAATAATGGAGATAATAAAATAATAAACGGCGATGATGACGATGCAAACGTAAATTTTATTATTTCTGTTACGTCTGTTATTGATGTTATTATTATTAGTATTGTTATTATTATTATTATTATTATTGTTATTATTATTCATTCATTATTTATTTAACCATCTGCCAAATATCAAATTTAAGTTTGTGTGTGCGTGTGTAGTATAAATAGTAGTGGCATAATATAGATCAAGTTGTAGTGTGTAGAAGTAGGACTAGCTAGCAGATGCAGTAACAGTAGTTGCAACAACAACGCCCCAGTAGTAGCAGCAGCAACATTAGCAGCAGCAGCAGCGGTTGTAGTAGCAGTAGTAGTAGCAGTAGTAGTAGCAGCAGAATTTTTTTCAATGTTACATCCAGAAAAGAAATATAAACATGGCTCTTCTTGTTTTTTCGTTGCTACAAGTTTATTCAATTTTTTCTAATTTAATTTCAAAGGGACAAATATTTTTATAAATATTTTTATAAATACATTTACGAATGAATGAATGAACCAATGAATGAACGAATGAATGAATGAATGATTGAAAGAATGAACAAGCATTAATTAATTAAATAGCAGGAATAGAACTCACCATCTAAATCATCAGTGACAAAATCATATGTAGGTTTCCAATGACACTATTATTATTCACATAAGTTGTAGTAATAAAACAATAAAATAATAATAAAATAATGATAATAATATTATTATTATTAATAATATTAATAATAATAATAATATTATTATTAATATTAATAATATTATTATTATTGAACACGATCGGAAGTGCCTAAAATATTTACCCATCTACCTATCAACTTTTCGTAAATAATAAAATTATTACTAATTATCATTACAACTATAATAATAATTTGTTATAATTATGATATTTTATTCCTCCACTTATGGCCTATTTCTCCTTCTCTCTTGCATGACCTGGTTCCTCACCTTGTCTATGTAGTCTTCGACATTTGGTAGGCCCTTCACGACGCATGCACTTAGGGCCGACCGATATAAGTTCATGTCAGTGCAGTCGTACCTAAGGTCAAGTTCACGGGTACTTGTATCAATTAATTAATTAATTAATTAATCAATTAATTAATTAATTAATTGGTTTCAGTCATTATTATTCGACTAAATAAGTGGAAGAGTACCTACTTAGTAGTGAAACTAATTGTCATTAAAGAGATATTTGAATTTATTTAATGTCGGTGTGGTTGTATGATACATAGCAGTATGGTACATTAGATGAAGTTTCATCTCGAAATGGGACTCATTACAGTTGTATTTAAATTTTGACCAAGTTTGGTTTGTTGTTTTTTTTTTGTAAAATTTTGAAAAGCGCCACTGAACAAATCGTAAGAACGATCGAATGAATGAATGACATATGAAAGAATTAAAGAACGAATAAAAGAATGAACATATAGACGAACAAATGAATGAATGACATGAATTAATAAAAAGATTGATTGATGAACGAACGAATTACTGGAAAAATGAATGAATGAATGAAAGATTGATTGATCGACAAAATCTCCTCTCAACCATTCATCAGTGGTTGGTTCGTAGCACTCCACTTGGAATATCGTAGTGACGCCATTGAAACCGCCGATAGCATACACCATATCGTCCATCACCTTCAATTGTATAATTATTTCCTTCATTTATTTATTCTTTCTATCCTCCATTCATTCACTCGTTTGTTCATTCGTTCGTTCGTTTTTGGGCACTTGTTCGTTCTTTGGTTCATTTATTCGTTTCTTAGTTTTTCATTCATTCGTTTGTCTAATTAGTTAGTTTTTCTCATTCATTCATTCATTCATTCATTCATTCATTCATTCATTCATTCATTCATTCATTCATTCATTCATTCATTCATTCATTCATTCATTCATTCATTCATTCATTCATTCATTCATTCATTCATTTATATATTAATTAATTAATTCATTCATTCATTCATTCATTTATATATTCATTCATTCATTCATTTATATATTCATTCATTTATTCATTCATTCATATATTTATTCATTCATTCATTCTTCCAATCATGAAGAAAACTATGGAACCAACCGAAAGATCCCAATCGCGGACAAACCTCAATTCCAAAATTGCTTCTGGGGCTGTACATCTCTGTGATATTGGTCCAGGTGTTGGCTGTGGGGTTGTACCTCTCCCCGCTGTTCATCCTGGTGATGCCGTTGAAGCCCCCTATGGCGTAGACCAGCCCGTCCAGGGCAATCACCCCGATTCCTGATCTGCGGTTCCTCATGGGAGCTATCATCGTCCACTGCCTAGTCGCCGGATCGAAGGATTCCGCCGTGTTCAGACATTCCTGGCCGTTGAATCCGCCAGCTATGTAGACCTTTCCTGAAGTGGAGTGTGGGTTTTGTTGTTGTTTGGGAGTGATAGTGGTGATGTTGTTGTTGACGTTGTTGTTGTTGCTGTTTTGGAATGATGATGATGTCTGTGTTGTTGTTGTTTTGGAATGATATTGATGATGATGGTGGTGTCTGTTGTTGTTGTTTTGGAATGATGATTATGATGTCTGTTGTTGTTGTTGTTGAGTCTTTAGTCTTTTTGTGAAAAGCCCCAACCAGAAACATTGCTTCAAATCAAGAGACAACAAACACCAACAATTCACACAGCTATAATTATTAAAAATAAATTAATAATAATAAATTAATAACGATAAATTAATAACAATAGATCAATAATAATTAATTATTAATAAAATAATATTAAAATTAAAACCGCCAGTTGTAGTGGCAGATGCATCGCTTCGTTGGTGGTTCATGGGAGTGATCATACTCCATTGGTTTGACTCGGGTGTGTACTTCTCTGCGGTATTTTGTCGCACGTGCCCGTCAAAGCCACCCATTGCGTATATGCAATTGTCCAATACGGCTACACTTACGTAGCATCTGTGTTTGTGTGTGTGTGTGTTTGTTTGTGTGTGTGTGTGTGTGTGTGTGTGTGCGTTTGTTTGTGTGTGTTGTGTGTATGAAATGTGATGGTTATGAATGATTACGAATACAGGGCTGCTTTGATGACGACGAGATGACGTTGTTTAAGAGTTGATTGAATGATTGCGGCGACAATGGCGACGTGTATAAACCGGAAACAGTTGTAGTAATTACGTCACAAACTGCGACCACCTTTTACTGTTCATAGGAGCTGCCTCGCTCCATTCCTTTGTGACGGGGTTGAAGCAACGAACACTGTTGAAGTAATCCATCCCGTCAAACCCTCCCATCAAGTATATGCAGCCATTCACCGTGGCACACCCGTGGTAGGCTCTGGGCCCTTGATAATTCATAGGGATGTGCCATTTTAATTGTGAAGCGCTGTTAGAGATGTGCGACTTTGAATTGGGTGATTTTATTGGCGTTACAGTGACGGAGTTCGAACGCAAGAAGAGACCATTCTATAAATTGCCTTCTTCAAACGTAGACTGGGAGAGTGAGTTTGTGGGGAATAAATTGAATTTATAGAAAGCCAACAACATCAACAACAACAACATCAACAACAAAATTATCAACAACTACAGCAACCCCTGTCTTGATGGTCAACGGTGATCCATCTATCCGCTTTAGTATCATAGGCCTCGATAACATTAGTGGGACTGCCACCGCTCCACCCCCCTACGGCAAACATGACCTCGTGGGGTATCCTGGGGCGTGCCATGGGGTTGTTGAAGTCAATTTCTTGCCCCACAATGTCAAGGTCGTAGAGGAACTTGAGGGCCTCGATTACTATTGGCTTGCACTGCTCGTTGTCTTGGACGAGGCGGTGTTTCTGAGTTAGTTTCAATAATAATAATGTTGTTGTAGTTAATATTATCATTATTAATTATTATTATTATTAATCATATTATTATTTATATTATTATTATTTTTTTTATTGATGTTATTAATACCGACTTTGACCGTTTCGATAAAGTACGTCGTACTCAAGAGGCCCAACCTACAAAGGTTAAATAAACAAAGAATAATAATAATAATAATAATAATTATTATTATTATTATTATATATTATAATTATTATTGTTATTATTATTAACATCATCATCAGCATAACCACCTTATGCATTTGAGTAACTTGGCGATGTATTGTTTACGATTTTTAACATCATGCTGTATCCATCTGGGTGAGTGAATGAGTGAGTGAGTGAGTTAATGAATGAGTGAGTGAATGAGTGAACGTTTGAATGAATGAGCGAACAATCGAACGAACGAATAAATGAATGAGGAGTTAAACGAGAAGGTAAAAGAAGAAATTAATTACAACTATCCTTATCAATCATCCATTCATCCATTTATCCATCCATCCATCCATTAATTCATCCATCTATAATACATTCATTCAATCATTCACCTGACTATGCATTCGAATACGACCTCCTCACTCTTCACATTTAGGTGATCTGAGGACAGCAGCTCCTCTAGCTCAACGTCCGTCAGCTTCAAAATTTCGTTACCTTTTTTCGCTACCTCTTTGAATCTAACGAATGAATGGATGATTGAATGAATGAATGGATGGATGGATGGATGGATTGGATGGATAAATGAATGGATGAATGAATGAACGAACGAACGAACGAACGGACGGACAGATGAATGAATGAATGAATAAATGAATGAATGAATGAATGAATGAAGGAAGGAATGAATGAAGGAAGGAATGAATGAATACAGACCTTTCCAATATAAATCTGTTGGCTGTAGATTCCAGAGCGGTACAGTTGTACGTATGGGCGAAATTTCTTATTCCTAAATTGGAAAATGTTGTAAAGAACGAACGAACGAATGAATGAATGAATGAATGAATGAACGAATGAATAAATAAATGAATTATTGAACAAATGAATGATTAAATAAATGAATGAACAAAAGAAGAAACAACAAACACAAAACCAACCAATACAATTATCCCATTCCAAATTTTTCTCTAAATAATCACAACATTGTTTAACAAGACCCAACACGTGGAACTGATCAGCTGTTGGCAGAAGACGCTCTACATTCAAGGGCGTGATCTGATTGGTCGGTTGATTGATGAACGTGATCGGATTGGCTGGTGGTTGATTGCTGTGATTTGATTGGCTAGTGGATTGATAAATATGATCTGATTGGTCGGTGATTGATTGTTGTGAGTTAATCAGTCAACTAATGTGTTTTGTCGAATTGACTGGCTGATTGATGGATGTAATTTGATTGGATGGACGAAAAGATAACTCGATATTCATTCATGCTATGAATGAATGAATAAATGAATGAATGAATGATTGAATGAATGAATGAATAAATGAATGAATGAATGATTGAATGAATGAACGAATGAATGAATGGAATGAAAAATGCACTTAACCTGCCCACCTTAACATCTCTGGTGTAGGCGTAGTCGATTATGTATCGAAGCATTTCCGCTTTTACATCCGGAATAAATATCTCCTTCCGGTTTGTTTCTTGCATGCCGTTTGTAAAAAGAGCTCTGGTTGTTTGGTCGTTATTAATTTATGTTAATTTATGTAAAATTATTCTAATTTATGCGAGTATTACTTTAATTATTTAGATAACATTTATGTATTTATTTGAATTTATACGATTAATTTGACCTGTGCGATAATTTTAAGTTTAATTTTTCAAACATGTTAAAGACATTTGTTAGTCAAACAGCCTGTCAGCAACACAACGAACGAATGAACGAATGAACGAACGAACGAATGAACAAACAAACGAACGAACATTCAACTAACCGGAAGTATGGACTACAGGATGACATGATTGCCCTATGGACAGGAAAACTCCCATCGGCCACAACTAAAAGAACATCGCAGAGTAATCCATTTTTCCTCAAATCATTCAGAACGTTGCAGGACTGCAGACTGTTCTTCCGGTTTATGGGATCAATGATGGCTACGGATGTTCCAGAAGCAGACGTCTGTCTAGACGGTGTCTGGCTGTCTGGATTAGTTTGGTATGTGGTGGTTAGGAATAAGTCCGTGTTGCTGTTATCAGCTAGTTGTTGTTGTTGCTGCTGCTGCTGTTGGGCTGTGTCATTTGTTGTCGTCGTTGTCGTTGCTGCAACAGCTGCTGCTGTTGTTGTTGCGTCTGTGGCGGTTTGTTGTTGCTGCTGCTGTTGTGGTGGCGGCGAGGAGTTTATTAACTGTATCGGCCTGCGTGTGGTTAAAATATCATCAGCGTCACCACAACCAGCGTCATCGTCGTCGTCGCCATCATCCTCATAATAATAATAATAATAATAATAATTATTATTATTATTATTATTGTTGTTGTTGTTGTTGTTGTTATAACACAACATGTGACCTGATCAACGGATGTTGTATTGGATGCTGCTGCTGCTGCTGGCGATTTTCATTATCATCACGATCATTGATGACGTCATAATTTCCGATGCTCTGACTTCCGGTTGCTAAGTTACGGTTCTGATCACTGCTTGGGGAAGTCTGTCTTAATGACGCCATGGGAAAATAGGGATGGGCGAAATGTAAGGCAAATAGATACAGGGGTATACCAGTTCGGAGAATCGGCCAATTGAACGATTAGTCGATTGGTTGATCGATTGGTTGGTTGATTGGTTGGTTGATTGGTTGGTTGATTGGTTGGTTGATATGTTGGTTGATTGGTTGGTTGATTGGTTGGTTGGTTCGTTAGTTGATTGATTGGTTGATAAGTTGGTTAGGTTTTTTGATTGATTAAAATCTATTGAATGTATCTTAAGTAATTTTATTACTTATTAGTAAACTTTATTTACTTATTTCCTAAACATCATTATTAAATTTTTATTTTTTTTTATTTTAAATGTATTTATGTTGATAAATTTTGTCGCGAAAAAGTAAATATAATTGTAAATAAACAAATATGACGAATAAAAACACACGATGACGTAGCAACTATAGCGCTTAATTTTTTTCTTTATTGAAAAAGCTATCAAGAAAAAAATATAGTTTTTTGTTTATATATTTCATTCATCCTTATCTATATTTTATATTATCATCTAAAAGTTAAATAATACAAATATAATATATAATATAACAATTATATATCTTTGTATATGGCGTAACGGTTAGAGGTGTCTGGTTCTTCTGTTGCACTGACTGGGTTCGATTGCACAGACTTCCCCCACCCCACATACAATAATACGTGTGCGCTCATATGCAATGTGTGTGTGTTGTGTGTTTGTTTGCCTGCGTTTGTGTGTATGTTTTTTTGTGTTTGTGCGTGCGTGTGTGTGTGTGTGTATATATATATGTGAAGCAAGCACAGAAGAAAGATTGACCTTTAACCTTTTCTATATTAACATACATATATTTGGTTTATGTATATAATAATGTATATGTATAATAAATAATAATAATAATGTTTATATATATATATAAATATAAATTTAATATAAATTATATATATATATATATATATATACACACACACATATATATACATATATATTAATTTTAAGTTTCTTTTATTTTTATGTTGACGAAGACAAAAGATAAAACACCAGCAATAACAATAATAACAACAACAACAATAATAACAACAATAATAACAACAACAATTACTAAATAAAAATTACTATACTCAAGTTACTGACTAACTGCTGATTTATACTGGACCATGGCCAATGACCATCAGTATTGCTACTCAAATGTAACTTGAACAAAATTGAATAATTAATTGGTTAATTAATTAATTAGGTTAGTATCAGCAGACATAAAATTTAATAATAGGCGCTTGGGTTTTAGAAGAAAAGTTATTGAAGAGAGAAAGAGAGAGAGAGAGAGAGAGAGAGAGAGAGAGTGTGTATGTGTGTGTTACAATCCAAACTTTTAAAGCCTTACTACCAAAATCCCTCCCTTTAAACTTCTATCTCCAATACCAGCAATACCAACAACCTCGCAAAATTACTAACGAAATGGAGAAACAGAGCTCGAAATCCTCTACCATCACCATCCCAGTCGGCAAGTCTACGAAGTCCAAACCGGCCAAAGTTTACACCGGCGAGAAATTAGTTGTCCGTCAATCGGGCTTGAGTCTTTCTACTGAAGATGAAGAGTTGAACAGAAATGGAAAGGATGATGGCGATGAGGACGACGAAGATGAAACTCTAAAATTGGAAAAGTTTGATCTAGAAGATGATGTTCGCAGCTTTGATATCGGTCCGGAAGAATGTAATGTGATGGTGAAACAGTGGAAGAAAGATTTTGGAAAAATGGAAGGGCGCCACGTTCAAACAGACGCCGAAAAATGTTCACCGAATGTTGCCAAACCGCCAAAAAACCAAGAGTTGCACGTTCAAACGGTTGCACACGGTCGCAATCTACGGAAGCAACAGTTTCGGCAACAGTCGCAGCAGCAAATGTATCAATTCTGCGAGGTGAAATGCGTGAAGAGTCATTCTGTTGTCGGGTTAGTTTGTGGAGGGAATAATTTCACGAAAAATTTTAGTCATTTTCGAAAGCGAAGTATCGTACGTAATTTTGTGCCATACAAAAAATGTTTCGGTGATGACTTCATCATCTTACCTCAGAAGCAGAAGACACAAACTCTTCAAAAAAATCGCAACCAACCGAAATCGCTGCAGACAGTACGCCAACGACTTCAAGAGAGAGCAAGTGGGTGGAGTAGCGAAAATATTTCAGAAAAATTGCGAAAACAACAAAAAGTCGAACAGCCAGAACGTGTTAAACCATCGCCGACTGACATTTTAAAGATGAAGCAGCACATTGAAAAGAAGTTAATGATGCAGGAGAAGATTCAGGAGAGTTTACAGGAACGAATGGAGCAACAACTTCACGAACAGAAACAACAACAGATGAAATTGCAAAAGGAATTGAACGCCCTCGTCAGCAGAGCATTGTACGTCGGATACCTGAAACATCACGACCAACATGAACAACAACCACAACAACAACAACAGCAACATCAATTGCAAAAGCAACTGCATCAATTGCAACTGCAACTACAACAACAACAAAATACTGATTTTGAAAACAGCAACGACCACCAGTTGAAACAAACAAGACAAGGCAAAATTTATTCTCCTATAGCCAAGCAAGAAGAGAAAGCGATGAACAATACAAATTTATCCCGACAAGAAATCAAAACTGAAAGTGATTTGTACCAAAGCAGTTGTCAGCTATCAACCAAACATGCCAAGCAACAGCAACAACAGCAGCAGCAGGCAGATAAACAAGCTGGGAAAACGTTAAACTTGTCGCAAAATCAACAATTCAACAACCACCACAAAAAAAATAAAATGTCGTCCCCGCGTAACGAGCGAGTAAAAAATGAAGAGCTAGAGCTAGACACGGCAAGAAGCTGGCAAAACATTTCACAAAAACAACACCATCACAACTACCCAAACACTGATTTGGAATCTCGAGAAATATTAATCCCATCTGAAGAAACGTCAAGTTTAAAAATTTCTCAGCAACAATCGTCGGAAAGAAATCCCGTTCGATCGCAACAGCAGCTGGAAAACCATTTACACCACCAGCAGGATCAGCAGCAGTTGCAGCAACAACTGCAACCACAAAATTCATCGCAGACAACTGTATCGCAACAAACACAAAATAACGTTTCTTCATATTCATTAGTTTCTCAGTCCGCCGTGAGATCGCCCCAATTAGCTTCGCAACTCTCAATATCGAACTCCAACAGCCATACGTCTAGTTTAAACAAAGGTAAGTCTATACCAAAAGTTTTTTTACCAACGAAATCATCACATAACTCCAGATCCTCACCTTCGATGTCCAGTCGTTCTGTCAGCAAACATCATCCGCAATCTTCAAAAAAACTGGAAATCTCACCAACGAAATCGCAAAATTATTCGCTGAAACCACAAAACTCAACAAAATCTTCGCAGCAGCAGCAAGAAGCACCGAAACGACAATCAAAATTGCGGTCACTGTTTTCATTTAAAAGTTCAAAAAGCAAGCAACAACCAGACGCTAATTGCCTTCAACTTCCAGATCAACAACATCAACGTCAGCAATCGCAACAGAGATCTCATCGGCATCAACAAGACCAATATATATCTTCACAACAACAGCAACACTCAAAGCAAAGAAAACAAGGACAACGTGTTGAAACATCGACAAAAGTTTTTCAAAATGTTGTCGAATATTCTCCTTCGTCGACCAGTCATGAAAACAAACTCAAATCAGATTTTGACAGCTGTCGGATGAACGCTCCTCGCAAAGAACACCACCAGCATCACCATCACCACATCCATCATCATCGCAGACGGCAGAACAGGCGACAACAACTTCAAGCAGAACATGAGTTTGAAGAACCGTCGTGTGATCGGGACGTGGCAGAACCTCTGGCTGATTACGTGGACTCAATGGAGTGCCCTGAGGCCGCTACATACGACGAGCCCGACTCGCAACCGTACGAAGCTGCCAACACCATCACACCAACACTCTCCGTTTCAAACTTCAACAACGAGAAGGAACCGCCCCTTTGCCATCCCAACATCGAAGATGTGACGGTTGAGAAATTTTTAAATATCTACAAAGATTTTTTGAGCAAACAGTTGGAACTGAATCAAAAAAATTTAGCAAATAAGGATAAATCAAACAATGAATGCAAGAATATCGACTTTTTGCGCAGCCTCTACGGTGCTTTGAAGATTGTTAAAAGTGAGAAGGACATATCAGAACTGGAATGTTTGATGCGTAAGTTAACTTTTTGTTGTCCGTCGCCATTCAAATGTTCTAAAGGAGAGTACATGGCTGCCGGGCACATCTTCGATGACATCTGTAGGCCAAATCGTGACGATGGGCCCGTTTTTTGTGGCTACGTAGCCAGACCTTGTGGTCGCTTCAGAATGCTGGATGGGTCGAACTGCAAAGCGAGGCTTTCAAAATCAGTCAATCTCAATTTTCCTGTTATTAATAAAAGGGAAAAGTTCAACGCATCGTCTCCACGTCTAACGAAAAACAGAAAAAACGCTCAAGTTAAGCCGTGCAATTCCGAATATTCGAGTGTGGCTCGTACAAAAAATATTTCGAAGCATCAGAACATCAGAGATCGCAACTGCGCCACAGATGAATGGGCTACGCACAAAAGTTTTTTAAATTATTATTTGAACCGTAAGAAATGTTGGAATGTAAGTCGACACAAAAACACCATCAGCAAAATCGTAAACAAGTCTAATTATTTTAAGATACCGAAGCCAGGGTCGCCGCGGCAGATCTTAAAATGTAACGCATCAACGAAGATCTTCAGTGATTCAAGTAGGATGGCAAATGAAGAAAGTAGCAGCAGATGCTACAACCCGATTGTCAACAGTACCGCGTCTGCTTTGAATGCTGCTGAAATGATGGCACGATGTAACTACCAAGTCAACGAACTCCTACCGAACTACGACTACATTGACGTCTCAAAAATTCCCGTTTCCAACGAAATCAAACCAGCTACTCCAAAGAGCGATCACAGTCTGAAATATAGCTTCCATAAATATACTAAAAACTTTGAAAGGAACGATGTCGATTTGAAAAAATGCTCCTCGGTCATTATAGAATTGACGCCTAAAAAAGAGATTTATTCTAGAGAAAAAAATTGCTTAGATAGAAACATTCCACTACTTGATTACGTACCAAAAGAGCCACAAATTTTCAACCAGTATCCATTTTTTAACGACATTGGAAACGGCGAAAAGACTCGGACGGTTACCAATTTTTACGATTGCCAGCAAGCACACAACTACTGCCCATCTTACTACGAACTGAGCAATGAGGCCAGCAACTGCGGTACATTGGTGCCTTGCGGAACTCGCAGTTCCAAAATGAATTGTCAAAGTAATAACCAGAGATTTAGTCCGCAGAACTGTGCAGCTCAACAAATGAATTCCTACGATGTTGTTTACCGGCCAAATACGAGATGCAAAAATTTAACATTTTCAGAGCTTCAAGATAGAACAAAGTTGGAAAATGAAAGGCAGCAGCATTTATATCAGCAAGATTTGTTGCTGAAACAGCAACACGAATTAACCTTACTGCAACTTGCCATTCAGGAACATCTAAAAGAGGACTACCGGCAAATTCAAGAGCAAACCGTGTGCAATCCTCCTTCCTTAGTTAACAATTTATCGAGAGAATGTCAATCAGGGAACATGTTTCAGAACGAAAGAGTCATCAAATCAAACAGCCCTCTACAACAACTTCAACAACCACAACATTGCCAAAACAGTATGAATGCTTACTCTTGCAGTCCTCGCCAGCATTTTTGTCCAGTGCAATCTCCTATACGTCCACAGGCATGTCATCAGTACGCATCACCGGCTTTTTCGCAATTTAATTCACAGCAAAATCTCCAAATATCTGATATGGCTGGTAGAAATAGTCCTTTCAAACGTAGAAAAACCCCAATGACGTGCGATCAGGTTGTAGGAGGCGATAATTGTCAATCGAAACCTCCTTCACCACCCAGCAACCCACCCGACTGTCTTTCCCAAAATCCAAAAAACTTCAACTGCAAATTAACGCCAACGGTATACAGCCTACCTCTGAAACCGGCCCTAAATCCGGACGACGAAAATGGTGGAAGTATGAGCTCCAAAAAATATTCCTACGAAGGTGATTCGAGAAGTGTTTTAGGATTTCCCAGAAACAATAAGAAAGGATCTGAAAATGATGATGGAAATAATTCTTCTTGCGACGCTGAATATAGCCATCAAAAATTGAAAAAACAGGTTGAAAAAACAACGATGCAATTTTTACGAGACTTGGGAAAACTTCCGAAATTTCCTAACTGCGTTTCTCCGAGGTGCGAATTTGCACCAGTGGGCGATCGCAGTTGTCGCTCCACGAAACCTGGAATCCCCTGCCTAACGGGTCTACTTGAGGAACGCTCAAGTTGCGAGAAAAAACTAAAAATTCCCAAACTGAAACAAAGGTTTCCACAACATGTAATTGCTCCCAAACAAAGTAAATGCACGTGCCTACAAAGTGTCAAAAGAAGACCCTACAACTACCCATTTTACAAGCAAATAAATCCCAGAACAGTTTTTTTGGAACCTCTATCGGTAAGCGAAGACCCGTACGTTCAGCAGTTAGAAAAAGTGATAGCCTGTGATAATGAGATGCACCCGGCAGAGAAAGATTACTGCATCCGGCAAAAGGATGCTCGTATTAAAAAGTTGCAGGGTAACATGAAGAACGAACGTTTGATTGAACAGCTGAGAGCCAATGTGAAAAGCAGATCTCAGTGGCGTCAAGAGTCTGCTAATGTGACTGGCTGTAATAATAATTCCGTTAGTCCATTTCTGTTTGCTTCAAAATGTAATAAAATAAAATTGCAATGTAATGAACACTATTAAATTGTTTATATATTTTTTTAAATTATTTATCATTTTACATCGGATTTACCAGAAAATTGTGCGAAATAACATATTAATACTTGCAGGACAGCCTGAAGAACCTGTGTGGACAACTGCAAAGCGACAACATTGATCCAAGCGAACTGCAAATATTCAAAAATAATAATGTGAAGGGCATCCAAGAAGAGAGGATACAGAGGCTTATATCCGGCACTTCCTCCGCTAAAAGAAGTCCAAAACACAAAAGCAACAAAAGCCCAAATAAAGAATGGCACAACAAATTAAATTCCCCGAGCCCTACCAACAGCAGAAACGAAATTCTAACACCCGAAACCCACCTAGGAAATTTTGTTTCTCAGACAAACGCCAAGTACAGCAAGCAGTTGAAAATGCATACGATAATCAATCAACACTCAGAAAAGCAGCACTCTAATGACAAATCTTTAACTGCACACGATTCGACGAATGATGAAATGTTTGGGTTTGTATTAATGATAAAATTATATAATATCTAATAACAATTTTTGAGAATAAATGATTCCTTTAATAGCAATGATAATCGCAAATAATAAAGTTTTAAAAAGAAGAAACACACAGAACCTACAATAACATTTCTCACATATTTTAACGAACCTATCACCAGATCGTCAGTTTCAATGCGTCTGAAGAGGAACCAACTATTCACATCCTGCAAGTACACACCCAAACACGCCATCAACATTAAATCCGCCATGAGACTCAACAGACAGATGAAAAAACTGGATAGTTACGACAGGAGCGCATGTGCCACCTACCAACCACATGCCAACGAATCTCGCCCACAGCAGTACGTATAAGCCCGAAATCCCACCGTAAAGAACAGTGCTCCTGGTGGACGAACCACGGATTAAGCGACGGCATCTATGACATAGTTTACAGCAATATTGGCGGTAACGGAGACTCGCAAAATCCGGATTTTGTAAGGCGGAGTGCCGACGAAATGAGTGGGACGCACTAAATAGTGGGAATTAAGTAGGATACTCTGACTGGGAATTAAATGAGATTCTTTAAAGGGATGAACAAAACGGGATTTAGAGTAAAAAAAAAAACAACCAATAAAAATTTTAATTCTGAGCAATCACCAATCATTAACCATTTATATTAAGTGTAATATATTTCTAATTATATTTCATAATATTAACACAATTTCTATTTAATTATATTCAATTTAAAATAGTTTAACACAGGGGAGGGCTACCAATTCTCCCACTTTTACATATCACCATTATTGAAATTTTATAACTAATTCGAGCAAGAATAATAATAATAATAATAATAGCAATAATAATAATAAAAATAACAAAAAATAATAATCTCAATACCATGGGCATTTAAATTTAACTTTTTCCATATTCAAACTTATTCCAAGAAAAAAAATCGATTTTTGGCAAATGCACTTAAAAACATAATTATTATTACTACTATCATCATCACCATCTTTGTCATCATCATCATCTTTGTCATCATCATCATCTTTGTCATCATCATCATCTTTGTCATCATCACCAATGTCGACAAAATATTATCTATAATTACAATTATTATCATATTATTATCATTCAATTCCTAATACCTGCTATTCCAACAGACCCGTAACATTATGATACATATATTATTAACCACATAACATATATAATATATATACAAACATACACACACATATATACATACAAACATACAAAAAGTTATAAATGTATGTATGTATGTAAAAAGAGAAGCTGGAAAAATGAAATCGGATTTTGTATACCTATCAACCAATCAACTGCACGCATTTTGTGTGTGTGTGTTTGTGTGTGTTTGTTTGTATATACGTACTACGTGTATGTATGCGTGTGAAACTTTAGGCAAACAAACATCTATCCGTTTGTGTATCATGTGGTCGGTTCTGTAGGTTTAAGATGAATTCAAACTCAAAATAGTAGCAATAATAATAATGATAATATTAACTATAACAACCATACTAATAATAATTAGGTTTAAAATTGTCAATTAATTCATCAAACAGCGTATAAAAGGCTTTGGGTTATATACATGTATATATATATATACATATATATATATATGTTCACTCTGATATCATATAAACTGATATTATTACATAGCGATTCATATAAGAATTATATACATATATATGTGTATGTTGATACATGTATGTATATATATATATATATAGATTTTTTTTTACAATATTCTATAAATTCTACCGAATGTTTGGCGTTAATATATTTGTAGTTCGTTTTTTCGGTTAGTGAGAAAAAACGAACTACAAACATATTAACGCCAAACATTCGGTAGAATTTTTAGAATAATGTAAAAAAATATTATGGTCTATTACCAACATATATATATATATATATATATATATATATATATATATATATATATGTATATATATGTTTAAATGTCCTATTAAATTATACATATATATTATATATACAGTATTGTATGAATTCGTACAATACTGTTTAAATTATGAGTATATATGTGTGTAAGTTTAATATGGCTGTGTTTATTATACCCATCTAAAAGCCTAGAAAAAGTTAAGTGAAGGTAAATGATTGATTGATTGATCGATCGAATGATTGTCTTATTGACTGATGACGTCATCGCCATCATCGTCGTCGTCATCATCGTACTTAATACTACTATTACTCTATCACTTTTACCGTTTAAGTCAACAAATTAGTATTTTAGTGGATTGATTGAATGGAGATACAGAAATCAAACAAACGAACGGATGAACAAGTGGATGATTGAATGAATGAAGAGATGAATTAATTAATAAAGAGAACGAACAAATGAACGAGTTCATTTTGATCAAATCAAATTTGAGAACAAATTAAATAATTTTCTCTATTAAAGCTTAATCAACATAAAATCAAAAGCATTCCATTTCTATTTTAAAAAACATAATTTATCAATCTAGTATATCAATCTTTTCTTTCATTCTCTCTCTCTCTCTCCTATTTTCTATGTATCTATCTATGTATGTATCTATCTATGTATGTATCTATGTATGTATGTATCTATGTATGTATGTATGTATGTATCTATGTATGTATCTATGTATGTATGTATGTATGTATGTATGTATGTATGTATGTATCTATGTATGTATCTATGTATGTATCTATGTATGTATCTATGTATGTATCTATGTATGTATCTATGTATGTATCTATGTATCTATCTACCTATCTATCTATCTATCTATCTATCTATCTATCTATCTATCTATCTATCTATCTATCTATCTATCTATCTATCTATCTATCTATCTATCTATCTATCTATCTATCTATCCTATCTAAACTATCTAAACTATCTGACTATCCAACTTACCTATCTATTTTACGCCTTTTACTCCACTAGATTATTAATACAACAGAAAAATAAATCAAAAATCAAGGGTCAAATCAAACGAACGAACGAACGAAGAAAATTAGTAAATGAATAAATTAATAATGATGATCTTTGCAGAATAATAGTCAAATGTGATAATAATAATAATAATAATTATTATTATTATTATTATTGTTATTATTTTTTTACCTCTCATTTAATTTCGTTCCCAATCACAATACAAATAATGAAAGAAAAAGGTACGAAAGAAATTTTAAAAAATAATAACAATAAAAATAACAACAACAATAATAATAATAACAGCAACAATTATTATTATTATTATTGTCATAATTATTACCATAATTATTATTTTTTTTGGTATATAATAAATAAAATTATATTATGACGATTTCGACGAAGGAGGCAGTCCCTCTTGGGGTGGGAGTTGCGATTTCATTTCGTCAGAACTTTTCAGATGTTGTAGTTGTTGTTGAGGTTGTAGTTGCTGTTGCAGATTGAGTTGTTGCAGCTGCTTAGCTGGAGAAGTCGGAACCTGCTGCTGATTAACCAAAGCAGGAGCTGCTGTCGTCGTCATTATAGACGGCGACTTAGGTTGCAACGAAATGGACGATGACGTTGTTGCAGTTGGCTGTGGTGTCGATACGGAGGTGCTGCTGCTGGTGGTGGGCGGCTGCTGTTGTTGCGACGATTGTTTGGTGCTAGACTGAGTTTTAAAAAAAAACATCTACCATTAGACAAATATACTGACATTTATTTCTATAGAGATTGCAATTACTACAATGCTAACTCCGAATACACCGCTTATTAACTACTTCCCTATTCTAAAAAGTCTCCAAGGTCGAAATTTTCTCTGCTTTCGAATCTAGCAGTCGTGAAACAATGCTGGAACTTCTAAGTAGTTACAAAGCTTTCTCAGATCTTAAATCTAACACTTAACTAATCTGACATATCATCATCTAACTCATTTCCAACCTAGTACATACCAAATTTGATACACCGCCAAAATGGCACAACTCTAAACTAGCCCATCCCTACTTCCTAACCTGATGTTGTGGCCCCCCAGCCGTAGAAACGGCAGCGGTATCTTCCAAAGGCTTCAGCTCTTTGATCTGTTTGATTAAGTAGGCCTTCTCGTCATTGAACTGTTCGTCGTCGGAACGCTCTGAATGAAATTTGGACAGGTACTCGAGGAGTTTGTCGCGTCGGCGGAGTAAGATCTCTTGAACGCTCGGGGGCTTGTCCGGGTTTGCCACAAAGACCTGGTGAAGGGTCAGGGTTAGGGTTAGCGCAAGCTGATGACAATGCGGCAGGGATAAAATGGATTGAGATGATGAGATGTGCTACTGCAATGTAGATAATGTGAATATTTGTGATGATGAAGAAAGATAAAACTGGTGACAAGTGATGATAGCATTGAAGATGAAACACGATTATGACAGCAACAACATTAGCAGCAAACAAAGACACTAAACAAACAAACAACCAAAAAAACAAACAAACCTTGAAAACATGAAAAGCCTCGAATTGTATGTTCTTACTTGACTCCTTCAGCATGTTCATGATCATGAGTAGGTTGTCTGGGTTACTGATGTATCTGGTCATGATACTGAAGTTATTTCTTTCCAGCAATAGCTCGCCTAGAAGCTGCATGTTGGCGTGTGCGTGCCGAATGTAAATGGGTTTGTATGCGGAGTGTAAATGGGTTTGTATGTGGAGTGTAAATGGGTGTGTATTTGGAGTGTACAAAAGTGCGTAGAGTGTATATAGACGTGCGCTCATATATTTCAGTTATTAGTATCCAGTAAAAACTCACCTACAAACTTTATAACGATGTATTTGTGGCGTTGGTGTGTGTATACATGTGTGCGTGAGAAAGAGAGAGAGAGAGAGAGAGAGAGAGAGAGAGAGAGAGAGAGAGAGAGAGTTTATTAGAGTAAAAATAATAATAATGATAAACCTTAAGTGCCTGCCTCCTTGTGACATAATTATCTGAACTGATGAGGCTATGGTAGGATTTGAAGAAAGTTTCGTAGTTCTCTTCCAAGAACTGAGCCATCATGGCGCGATGTTTCGTCAGCAGCTCCTGTAATTATAATAAATAATTATAATTAGGTAGCTCGATGGTGTAATGGTTAAAGTGGTGATACTACTGCTGCTTCTGCTGAGTCACTGGGTTCGAATGCAAAGAAACCCCTACCAGCCAGCTAATATAACACAATGATTCACGTGTGATTGCATGCACTGTGAGTTTGTTACATTTGTTGGATGACGTTTCTAAGAGGAACACTAAATAAATAAATAATTGAATTCATCAATCAATCAATATATCAATTCTGGAAAGAAAGAAAGAAAGAAAGAAGAAAAAAAAGAAAGAGAGAATGAGAGAAAGAAAGAAAGAAATAAAGACAGTGGTTGACAGCCAATATCAACGTCGTTATGCGTTAACATCTGGATAACTGTTTATCATTCATCGTCATCGTCCTCTTCTTCATCATCATCGTCGTCGTCCTCTTCTTCATCATCATCATCATCATCATCACCATTATCAAACAGCTCATGACCTTAATTCATAACCACCACCTAAATAAAACATGACCGAAATTTATGACCACATAAAAAAAAAACATTCTGCAATCTCATTTTAGGACGGATTTTCCCGTAGTTTTTTTTTCTTCATATCATCATCATTATTATTGATTTTATTGTCCCATCAACCAACCTTGAACGTAAGGAAAGCATCCGACGAAATGTCAAAGGTCGTGACCTCGACATATTCGAAGAACTTGTAGAAGTTGTCGGAGTTGAGGACCAGCTTAACTAACTCCTCGTAGCGGAAGCACTCGCGAAGTATCACACCACAGTTCAGGGCCAACTCTTGGTTTTTGTAGCTATGTGCGTGTGTGTATGTGCGTGTGTGTGTGTCTATGCGTGTGTGTATATGCGGGTATGTGTGTGTGTGGGTTAGTATGTTTGAGGAATCAATCAACAACATATATTTAGCAATCAATGCATCCATCAAATTAAAGACACACACATTGAAACCGAAAACAATACAAACAAACACAAGTATACATACACACATACATACACATACACAGACATACAAACAGACAACCATACATACTTGACCATCAGCAAATCCAGCACATCCCTATTCTCGCAGATGTGATCGACTGTTGGATGTCGTTGGCTCCCGGCAGCCTGCCTTCTCAGCAGACTGATGAAAATGGATACAACATCTTTGCGGCCCTGAATGAATAGACGAAGGAACGAAGCGATAAATGAATGTAGGAAGAAATGAATGAATAAGTTAGTGATGAATGAATGAATGAAAGCAAAAAAGAAGATAAATTCATAAAAAATTGATAAAAGCAATCTCCTACCTCGAAATCAATTTTTCCTAAATTTTCGACCATCAGATGCAACAGTTTGGCATTGTGAACCTCCTGGGCCAGTTGATTGACAGTTTCACTGGACCCCCCGTGACTCTCCTGATCGGAAGTCGAGGCCAGAATTGACTTCATACTCGACAAACATTTAGAGATCTCCTCCTGGACCTGGGGATTTCCCAAAAAAAAAGTTCACCAACCATGCCAAGAAATTAATGTAAGAATTAGTGTGAAATTATACCTAAGTATTATAATTTGCATTGATTGATACATGAATGTTTAAATGTATGTACGTGCGTGACAGTGTGTGTGTGTTTGTGTGCGTGTGTGTGTGATGTATTGACTGATACATGAATGTTTAAATGTGTGCGTGACAGTGTGTTTGTGTGTGATGCATTGATAATGATACATGAATGAATGTTTAAATTCACTGCGTGGTATGTTTTTGTGTCCAGTGTCTCAGAGAAGAAATAAAAAAAATAGAATTATATAATTATACTTTAGCATATTTCTTAAGGGAAGCTTCATCCTTCGAGTCGGCCAGTGATTTAGTCGACAGGTTCTCATTCAGACTCTTCACTAACTCGTGTGGGGTCTTGTGTTTCCCGCCAAATAAGGGCATTTTCTTCATGCTTACACACTGTAACATTTTTAAAAATTTAATTAACTAATTAATTTACTAATTAATTACATGATTAAAAATTCATTTTTCTTAACCAATACAAATCGGAAATATTTAATAATGAAGATTCGAAGAGTTATAAATTTAAATGCGCGAGTTTAATCATGAAAAATTTTGTACTATCTATTTTAAAACAAAATATATGTTGTAAGAGATCGAAAAATATTGAAAATAAATTAAAAAGCTGTAAACAAGCCCGCCCACACACACGCGCGCGCGCTCACACACATTTCTCTTTTTCTGTATATATATATATGTGTGTGTGTGTGTGTGTGTGTGTGTGTGTGTGTGTGTGTGTGTGGGTTTGCGTGTGTAATCAAAACAATAAAAATGGTACCTACCTAATTAACTCAAACTATAAAATAAAACAAATACTAGGTAGGCAGAAAATATGATCAGTGATGTGGTCTTAATGAGAATTAGCGATCAGTTAATACAATAGACATTTCAGCTAATAAGAAGAGCTGATAAATACTTGAAATTAATTATCATCACCAACTTAACGTATGTGCTAGCAGCATTCCCATCATCATCCTCATCATACTCACTTTCATCATTATCATACTTACTTCCATCATCATCCTCATCATACTCACTTTCATCATTATCATACTTACTTCCATCATCATCCTCATCATACTCACTTTCATCATTATCATACTTACTTCCATCATCATCCTCATCATACTCACTTTCATCATTATCATACTTACTTCCATCATCATCCACATCATCCACATCATCATCATCAACCACATCATCGACTATAACATTTATTTATAGGAATAATAATTATAAAACAAATAAATAATGTCAGAAGTTAATTAACCCAAAAGAAAATAGAAAAAAAACTTACAACTTACACTAAAATATGACACACACAAGATACCTTTATTAACCATTGTGAATATGACCTCTTGTATTGAATGTGAATAACTTTGTAACTAATTAATCATTAACTGTGTGATTAATTAATTAAGTAATTAATAATTAAAAAGTATTTCATCTATTCATTATAAGTCATAATAATAATCATCAATCATGAAAATTAGGTGGGAATGAAATCGGACAGACGGGCCAATGATTTGAAAGCACCCGAGCACTAACACTAAATGACATGTGACTCTTCTGAAAGATTGAATGAACAATTGTATGAATGAATGAATGAAATGGTCTAATAATTTAATAAATATGAAAATTAATAATTATGAAAAAAAAATAAAAGCAAGCAAAAGAAAACTTTTGGAACTTAAGAAATGTGAAAGCAGTTATACTACTATATTGAAATGAAATTGAAATGAAAATAATATTTTTTATAAAAATAAATTTATAAAGTAATAAAACAAATAAATATATAAATTTATTACCAATTATTTGAAATTTTGATTAGATTATTTAAAAACCAATTCAGTTTCCATTAAAGAATAGAAAATTAATTTTTAATCAACAAAAAAACAAGTGAAAAACCTCTTTAATTAATAAAAATTTTAAACTTTGGAGCTATTACATGCAAAAAATTGATCAATTAATATTAAATTAAAAGCAATTAGGGAATTAATTAGTTATTTAATATATAATTTACTTTACTACTTACAACATATTATTATCAATTAAAATAAGTAAATATTCATGCAAAGCGTACATTCACTAAACGTAAACCTAAACTAAACTCCTAACCAGAGAAAAACGTGAAGTACGAACGACTTTACCAGCATTACAATGGCAACAAAACAATAACCACGTTCACTTACGACTTATGTACATTCATCAAATCGAACGGCACACACATACATACATGATATCCGGCTAAAAAAAAATAAATAAAATATCAACCACCAAAAACCATCAAACCATGTCAATAAACTAAACTCCAGATCACAGATTAGTTTTAATTTAGCCGTAAAAATATCTAAACAAAATTTTCCGAACCTTCTGATCGACTCTTGGGTCGGAATTTTTCTGATTTTAGTGTAATTTCGTGACGAAAAACAACGCCAGACAAAGCACGTCTAGGTTGTGTCGGGTATTTAAATGAACCAGCAGATGTAAAGTCTTTAGTGTGTAAAAGTAAAAAACATAACAAAAAAGAATAATAACATTATTACATCGCAGATAAAAAAAAGCGCATTAAAAATTCGATTTTTCAGCCGGTTATTAGCATTATTCAGTTCTTTTTATACTTATATTTTCTTTCATATATCTGTTTAAAGACGTATAACAGCAGTCAAAAATGGTTATTTATGAGGAGTTTGTTTCGTAACATTGTTCTACGACATGTACATTACATTGTATTATATATATATATATTCATCAATTATATATATATATATGTATGTATATATATATATATATATATATATACTCACCAACTCCACTAAAAAGTGCCTACTTCCCTAATCGTACAACACAACACAACCAACCGTGACAAAACATTTTAAAATGCAAATTTGCACATTTAAGCATAAAAAAGAAAAGCCGCCATATTCGCGAACACGCACACAAACACACACATACACACACACACACATAAACAAAAACGCATATACACGCGTTGGAGTGATTACAAAACGTTATTTCTCTATAATGATGAACAAAATGAACCAAAAGACTAACTTTAAAACGTGATACATTAAGTTACATTAAAAACGATAAAAATAATATAATTACAATAAATAAATTTGTAATAAATAAATAAATAATTACAAATGTATACAACCATATATAGAAATTAATATTGGAATGATGAAACTCAAAGACCAGAGTTAACGCGCAAAAACATTCCCATTGTAGCATATTTAATGAATGACATTCTGACGACAATAGAAAAAAATATCTCTACGATATTATTCAAATCTTTTCAAAACTCGTCGTGAAAGTTCCGACTGGCGTCTATCATTTTACTGCCTAAAAATAGCTCTGAATTTTCTAGAACCTCGGCCAAACTCAGTCTACCGTCACCGTCTTCGTCCGACATTAGTATGAGATTCTGTGTCTCTGATAGGATCCTGTTTAAATTTCTCGGATCCACATAGAGCTGAACGAGCAGAAAAAAAATTAAGATTTTATGTTAAATTCATCAAAAAATAATTAGAACATAAAAATATAAGTAAAATACACACTCACTCACTCACTCACTCACTCACTCACTCACTCACTCACTCACTCACTCACTCATTCACACACACATACACGCACACACACACACACATACACGCACACACACACACACACACACGCACACACACACACACATTGGCACGGCATTGCAGTGACGGTTCGTTTCAAATGTTTTATTTACATGCAGTGTTTATTAGCTGTGTTAATAATGAGAAGGAATACGTGCAATAAATAAATACACATAGGCGCACAAATATGAATGTATATTTCTCTATTCATAATTTCCATAGAACCTTGAGTTCTTCTAAATTGACGACACCATCCCTATTCTGATCGATGGAATTTTTGAATTCAAGTGATCGCTGTTTCTTGGTCTCCTCGTCGAGTTCCTCAGGCTGGAACCTGTAGGTGGGGTTCACGAATTCGTACTCCGTTATGACGCCGTCCTCGTCCATGTCTTGTTGGAGTTGGTGTGGTTAGGATGGGTGGAGTTGGAGAAATTAAAATAAGCAGGAACAAAAAATCAGAAATTCATAATTTTAAAAAGTTGTTATAAATAAAAATAATAACAAAATAGCAATTCCTGACTTATGCACGTGTTTCATTACAATATAAATAATGTACAACAAGCTCGTAGATGTAATGTTTTAAAAAATGAAAATTTCAAACAGCCAGCCAGAGATGTAAGAACCAAATTTGAAAGAGCAAGCAAATTGTTTATCTATAACCATAGGTAGGGAAACTAATAGTAACTCGAATGCCATTGTTTGAAAGAAGTTTAAATTTTTTAAAAACTAACCGAATTTCTCTAGCAAATCAAGTGCCATCTTTTGAATCATCAAAGGACTTTGTTCAGGGTGTCGAAAGTTGATCAGCTCCCGAAGATTGAGAGCCCCGAATTCGCCTTCCTCGTCCGCATCCACCCACCTAAATCTGTACCTGATTAGGCTTTCTTTCTCTGAGGAAAAGAAAAAATTATATACGTATAATTTTCTCATAAATTATAAAAATATAAATATTTAATTATTTACAAGAATAAAATACTAAAAAATAGTTTATAATAGGAAACCATAAACCAGCTGGGGACAGAGCAACATCATCATCGACACCACCCCTACTGCTACTCGATAATCTGACTGCTTTTTCCAGGCTATAGCCCTTAGCCAATAGGAAATGGATGTTAAACTCAGTCCAAGTTACATTACCTCAATGAAAAAATATAATTATTTTTAGTTAGTGTGACGGTCAGTCAATCAATCCACACCACACTAACAGAAAAATTCAATCCATTCATTCCCTAATTCATTCCCTAATTCATTCATTCTCTAATTCCTTCATTTCCTAATCCACACATTCAGTCAATCCACTAATTAACTAACCATCATGGTCGGTGTCGAGGTGATTAAAAATTTCCTCATTACCCTCGTCAGAATCTTTCAAGTGACCTTGAACTTTTCCGACAATCCATTTGTTTAATTCCTCCGCGTCTACGTAACTGTCGTTATTTATATCTGCCCTATGTGGTTATATGAACTTTTTTCATTTCATCTTAAAACACTATTTGATAGTTTGTAAGTTAATTTCATAGATGATTGGATGGCTTGCTTGGTTGATTGATTGGCTAATTGACTGAATGATTAGTTAAGTCGGTGAATAAATGACCGATTGCATGAAAAAATCCCCCAAAAAAAGACACTTACAAAAAAAAGACTTGTTTCAACTTGCTAATATCATTGTCAGCATTATTAGAGAGTGAATCGAACTCATCATGATGTTTAAGATTACCTAATATTTAAAAAAATAAATTCAGTTATCTAGAAATAGGTAAAGAAAATTACATAAAAAATTATTTATTAATTATTTATTATAAAAAGTGTAACCAAGTAAAAAAATTTACATTAAAAAATGTAAATGATTACTTAAAATAATTTAAATAACCAAAATTATGGAAAAAATCTTACCCAACAAAAGTTCCTTTCGGTAATGTAAATTCAGGTCACCATCCTGTTCCAACTTGACAGCATCCATATGGTCCGGGGGCTGAAGGTCTCCCATTGGCAGTGGAATTAGTGTAGTTAGTCTGTGTATCAGATCTATTTGTAGTTGTTTTAATAGCTGGGGGTCTAGAGTTGAAAAGGCCAAGAGGTGATGGTTCGTGACATTTTTCTGGGATTTTGGAAGTTTAGTTAACTGTTTGGATTTTGAATTTCGCTCTAATCTATTTGATTTTATTTTTACATATCATCTATCTCCTATTCTATTATAATAATATTATAATTATAAATAATTAATTATAATAATGCATGATTTTTTAAATTTTGTTCTAAAGACAAAAAAGAGCAAGCATGAAATTTTTTAATCTTTTCTTTGACAAAAAAACATTACATGAATAAATTGTAATAAATAAAATAAAACATAATAAAACTAAAATAAATAAATAGATAGACTTAACTTGTCAGGTTAATTAAACTTTTGAAAAAGTTTTAAATAACTATGAAACATTCATCAGTTAATTAAATTAAAAAAAAAATTAAAATACTGATCGAGTTCTTAAAACTTGTCTTAAAACTTGTTTTACATACTTAATTAAATTTAGAATTAAACTACTAAACAAACACATGCATGTTACAACCAAGTGAAAAACCTGGATTGTTTGAATTTCTGAATTTTCCAATTTTGAAATAAAAAATAACTAATAACTTCGAAATTCAAAGTTTGAATTGAAATTGAAATGAATTCAAACCTCAAACTAACCGATCGGCTTTTCCACCTGTTGACGGGTGACGATTGTACCAAATTAGAAATAAATAAAAAATTTATGACAAAATTTATGTACATTTTATATATTTGTTTGAAAAAACTATTAAAATAAATTTTACTTGGAATAAAATTTATTTTTTCCACGAAACAATATTAATTTAGTAAAAGTGGATTGAAGTAAAAAGAGGTGAACTTAATTAAATAATTAAACCCTATATATATATATATATATATACATATATAGAATATATCATTATATGTTATATTATATTATTATATATTATAATAAATCAATATATACGTATTCAATATATATGAATTAAACATTTACAAAATCCCAGGTGAATCAATGTATGTAAGTCATGGATATATATCCAATCCATGATGTAAGTATTCATGATTATCAACTGGACCGAATGTCTCCACACAAATCGGGACAAAAAGTCTCATATTGTCATTGAGATCCTTGTACTTACTTAAGAGTTCTTAAAATCGGCAGCTTTGGCAGCTTTCACCGCAGCAGAACGTGAAAAAATTAAATCGACATTACCGAAAATAATTAAAAGTTGAAAAAATTAAGGTTCTTTGCGTATCACTGCTTCAACCCATAAGAAATTGTTGTATATTGGTAAATAGGCCTCTCCTTGCTTTCGACTCGAACTGTAAAAAATCACCCTCCAACTCCCCTCCGAAAGTATTCTCCTTGTTCGACTGTTGAAAGTGAGCGAAGGCCTTTATATTTATTCTAGTTATATGTATCAAACAGTATCTTATTGAACAAAGTAGTATCATAAAATGAATAAAGATACTTTTTTCAACAATTTGAAAAATTCTCAATTTGATTTCATTACGATATCGATGATGATGATGATTGTGACCTGACTAATTAAAAAACATCGAATAAAATTTATAAAATAAAATGGGTATATCGTTGCGAAATCGTTGGAGGAAATGACGTCATGTTAACCAGTAGTTATTTTACTGCATGGTAGTTAATCAGCCGATATAAAGGTTATATTCAATTCCTATCAAATAAATTTGACCAAATATCATACGTAGGCAAAACTAAATGAAAAAATAGATAGATAGATAGAGATATATATACGTAGTTATTAAACTATTTACTATATATATATATATATATATATGGGTCATTCTCTGTCAACTTGAACCATGGTCCACGCCCGACCATCTCCGATTTTTTTAAAATTTGAACAGTAAGTACCTCAATGTATTTCATCGACAAAATAAAATTTTTATAAAAAAATTTCAATTATTTTTCAAGTTATGAAGATTTTTGTGACAGCATCCCCAAATTTTTGAGCGATTTTTTTCAAAACTTGTACCTATGTAGAACGCTATATCTCTTGAACTAGCCAACATATCTTGATGAAATTTTTTGTGCATATCAGTGAAACAATGTAATAACAAAAAAAATAAATGTTATTGTTTCGAATCAAAAGAAATTTTGAACAAAAAATCTAGAAAAAAATGAATTTTTTGAAAATTTCACCGATTTCAAAACAGCGTAGCTCAAAATCTATCGCAAAATAAATAAATATTTTTTGTTATTTTAGAAGTACCTTATAGTCATAAATAAATCACAAAATTTCGTTAAAATCTGTATTGAATTTTTTGAGCTATCGGAGCTCAAAATGTCAAAAAAATGAAAAACTTCTTTTGTTTGGCGCCATTTTTAACTATGAAGAACCAAACGTTTTTTAATTTTTAAAATTTGTTTATATAGTGCTTTTATAGCTTAACAACATATCAAAAAATAAAATTGGCGTTTGCTTTCTTTGAAAAATAAAACAACTTCAAAATATATTATATTTCTCCTTTTCGCATTATAAGATAAGCATGAGGCAAACGACCGTTTCGAAACTATTATCATGAACACTCTTTGCTATGATGCACAAAGTTAGTTAGTTAGATGTAATATGACACTTTTGCTTTGTTATGGCCAACAGCTTCGCCTGTAAGACTATTATAATGAGATGCTGACTCCTTCCTTCAGCCTCCTCACCTACTTTGCTATTACGTCCTTTGATGGCAGTTATACATTACCTATAACAATCTATTCATATGAATTACTTTAACAAGTAAGCATAAATTATGCTTATTTTTATTTGGCCATGAGGATATTTATTCAGCACATCGTTGTCTTGTTTTCATTTGTATCGTCAGGCCTTTTGCATGCTGTATGCACAACCGATGTTAAAAATTTGTAAGAAATTTTTGGATTAATTCAAAACTATTTTATCGCCTTTTAATTCAAAATGGGAAAAATCGGTAAGAATAATGATTTTATGTTTTTATGAACATTTACAATTATCGCTTAACATAATACAATTGTTCTATTAATTATTTTGACGATGCAATATACCTTTAATTTATATCTAGACGTTCGTAAATGTTGTGATCCCTCCAAACAACATCGAAAACCTTGTAGAAAAAGTCTTCGAAAAGCAACGGAGGCGCTTGCAATAAAATCATCTCATAATGTAAAACCAGGAGAAATGGTTTGCATTTCTTGTCGAATGAAAATAGGCAAACTATCTCCATCAAATTCAACTTCACAACCACCACCCGCACCGCCATCCTCGTCTTCATCATCTGAAAATGCCGTTGTAACCGGCGAGTCGTTGAATCAAATATTTTTGGCTGCCGGCTGTTCACCTTTAAGAATAAGAAAAATAAGCTCAAGTAACAAAGTACCGTACATGAAGAAAAAAGTTCGCAATGCAGTAGAGTTGTTATGCAAAAAATCAGCCAGGTTGGTTGAAAAGGATAAAAATATTTTTCAAACACCAAAAAAAGTTTTGAATTGTAAACATTGCGATGGTTTCAAAAATATTATGGAGGAATTAAAAGTAAAATTTTTTTCAAGCGATTATCGTCACAGACAACAAATTTTAACTCTAGTCCCACCATCATGGACCCTCTCAAGAACTGCTTCATTTTTTTCATGTTCAAAACATCTTGTTATTAAAAGTAGGAAATTGAAAAGAGAATCAGGCATTTTATCACTACCACATAAGAAAAAAGGTGAAACTATTGACGAGCACACAACACAATCTGTGATCGATTTCTACAATCAACAAGAAATTTCTATCTGCTGCCCTGGAAAGAAAGATTTTGTCACTGTTACAGAAGGTCAGCAAAAAGTATACCATCAGAAAAAAATTTTACTTGCAAATATTAAAGAAATTTATTTTGAATTCGTTAAACAAAAGAATTTAAAAATTGGTTTTTCAACTTTTTTCAAACTGCGTCCACCATGGTGTGTAACTGTTTCATCGCCTGGAGCACATCGAGTGTGCATCTGTGAATATCATCAAAATATCAAACTTATGCTTGAAAGTGTGCCATTAAATCATTGCTACAAATTTTGGCTGGAAAAATTAGTGTGCAATATAAATTCAAGAGAATGTATGTTACACAGATGTGAGGAATGCCCAGGAAAACTGAGTGTCGAAAATAACTTAAGAGCGATTTTCGAAGAAGCTGTAATTTCAATTGACAACACAATCAGTTTTTATCAATGGTTCCATGATGATAATCGCAGTTCATTGATTTCCGTACAGGATACAGTTGACAGTTTCATTGAAAGATTTTCGCAAAAACTTGACGAGTTGTCATCGCATCATTACATAAGCAAAGAACAATCGAAATATCTTAGCGATTCTAAAGAAAATTTAAAAAATTTGGAGTGTATTGCTTTAATGGATTTTGCTGAAAATTATTCGGTGATATTACAGGATGCAATCCAGAGTCATCATTGGAGCAACACGCAAGTTACTCTTCACCCAATTGTTCTTTATTACAGAGACGATGAAAACTTATCTGTCAAAAGCGTTTGCATGATTAGCGACTGTCTCGATCACAATGTTTCGCTGTTTATGCTTTTCAAAAACATTTAATTAACTATGTAAAACAAAACCTGAAAAACGTTACTTTAATTAAATATTTTTCTGATGGTGCGGTAAGTCAATACAAAAATTACAAAAATTTTTCTAATTTAATTCATCATAAAGAGGATTTTGGATTAAAAGCAGAATGGCACTTTTTTGCAACTTCTCATGGAAAAAGTCCTTGCGATGGAATTGGAGGGACAACAAAAAGATTGGTTGCAAGAGCAAGTTTGCAGGCATCAACAAAAGATCAGATATTGAACGCCAGAGATTTTTACACATACGCTGATGCGAAAATAAATGGTATTAAATTTTTTTGGGTAGACAAAATAGAAATTAAAGATCTGCTAGAAATGCTTGAAAAAAGATTTAGGTCAGCAGATAAAATAAAGGGTTGTCGAAGTCATCACTCATTTATTCCAGACAAAAATGATCAACTTTTGATGAAACGTTTGTCTTCAGATTTATTTGGATACAATTTTAATAAAAATGAAAGTGAAGACAATGATGATTACCAGCCGGGTCGATTTGTAGCTTTGGTCTATGATAAGAAATGGTAT